GTAATTGTACACCAATCCCTCTCCCATCACGTACTCCCATTACCAATACATGATTTCCTACAGTCCACCGCTATCGTGATAAAAACCTTCTCCTTTCCGGTCACTCTTGCATCAGCGTATTGCCCTCCTAACCGATCCATATCCAATGCCCAATTCAGTTCTCTCCTCGACTCCTTAGGACATCACTTCATCTTGGGTGCAGACCTAAATGCCAAGCACCAACAATGGGGTTCCAGAACCACGAATTCTCGTGGCCGAACCCTGCTGTCTGCACTCAATTCCCAACGTTTTCACCTCCTTTCCCCCAACTCTCCTACCTACTGGCCCACAGATCCCAACCGTAATCCTGATCTTCTTGATTTCTTTATCCACAGCGGCTTAAGTCCCCTCAATTGTTCCATTACACGTCTAAATGAACTTTCCTCTGACCATAGTCCTCTAATCCTTAATGTTTCACTTGAACCTGTTCCCAAACCTTCTCCACCGTCATTCATTAGGGGCCCAGTAAACTGGGACCTTTTCCGCCAAATAATCTCCGATAATATTGATCTCAACATATCCCTCAAAACTCCCGATGACCTTGATAGTGCCGTAAATTCCTTTACTACCACAATCCAACAAGCCGCCTGGACTGCCTCCTTTCCAAAAGACTCCTCCAGAATTCCTATAAAGACCATTCTACCCCAACACATCCTTAACCTAATCCGCACCAAACGCCGTGCCAGATTATTATGGCAACGAACCCGACATCCTACCGACCGCTGCTCCTATAATTACTACTGCAAACAATTAAAACTGGAATTAGCCACCTTCAGATCACAATCCTTCAACTCCTACCTATCCTCCCTCTCTTCTCGCGACAATTCCCTTTGGAAAACCACAACAAAAATCCTAAATCCTCACCGCATTTCCCATCCTCTCCGACGAGGTGATGGCTCCTGGGCAGCATCTGACGAAGATAAAGCTGAGGAGTTCGCCATTCACCTATCCAATACATTTATTTCACATCCGGAATCCCATCCTGCCCACACCGTAACAGTAGAAGAACTCCTTACATCACCAATCCCACTTTCCTTGCCCCCAAAAGCTATTCATCCTTCCGAAGTAAAATTTCAATTAAAAAAACTAATCCTCCGTAAAGCTCCTGGACATGATCTCCTTACACCTCAAATCCTTCGACAACTTCCATCCAAAGCAGTCATATTCCTTACATATATCTACAATTGTATCCTACGCACCACCCACTTCCCTCTGTTATGGAAACACTCCACTATTATCCTTTTCCCAAAACCAGGAAAACCTCTCAATAGCTCAACATCCTATAGACCAATCAGCCTACTCCCAATCCTTTCAAAAATTTTTGAAAAGATCCTTTTGAAACGAATCCTACCCATTATAGAATCCCAAAATATCCCTTCCCATCAGTTTGGTTTTCGCTCTCAACATTCTACTGTTCAACAAGGACTCCGAGTTGTTGATCATATTTCCTCAGCCCTAGAAAACAAGGAATACTGTTCGGGTGCCTTTCTGGACATTGCACAGGCATTTGACCGGGTATGGCACTCCGGACTGCTCTCCAAGCTTAAAATCCATTTACCTCAGTCCTTGTACCTAGTCCTCCGATCCTACCTCTCTGACCGCTCCTTTCGAGTTCGCTGTGGAACAGAATTTTCCAATATCTACTCCGTTAAAGCCGGTGTTCCCCAAGGCAGCGTCTTGGGTCCCGTGCTTTACATCCTCTTTACTGCTGACATCCCTGTTCATCCCGATACTTTTCTTGCAACATTCGCTGACGACACCGCAATCTTATCATCCAACTCTGATCCCGAAATAGCATCCTTAAATCTCCAAAGTCATCTCACCTTGATTGAGCACTGGTGTAATAACTGGCGCATTAAAGTTAATGAATCTAAATGCCAACATATTACTTTTACACTCCGACGCAATTCCTGTCCACCAGTACTCTTTAATTCCATCCAGCTTCCTTATTCAGACACAGTCCGGTATCTTGGCTTTCATTTAGACCGAAGACTAACTTGGAACCCGCATACTAGACTCAAAAGACAAGAACTCAACCGACGATACGGCCAACTATACCGACTACTAAGCAGAAAATCTAAACTTTCCATTGAAAACAAGCTACTGATCTACAAGACAATACTGAAACCTATTTGGACTTACGGACTAGAACTGTGGGGATCAGCAAAATTTTCTAACATCAAGCGCATCCAATCCTTCCAGTCTAAAGTCCTTCGAACAATAGTCGATGCTCCTTTCTATGTATCCAACAAAACCCTACATCATGACCTTAACATCCCATTTGTCCTAGACCTTATCCCAGAAAAGTTCTCCAAATTTCACCAGAACCTTACTTACCACCCAAATCCTCTTGCACAATCCCTATCAAGCATCTCCCATCCCTATAATCCTCCAAGAAGGTTGAAACGGCAGTGGCCTCGCGACCTTTTGTAAATTATATAAATTGGAGTTCTGGCAATGGCCAGATTCTTCACTCAAGACATGTGTGTATGTGGCTAAAGTGCTCTCGACCAATCTCCGCTGGCTTTAGTACCAGTGACGCGGTTGGAAGAGTAGCGCAGGGTTCTCCTGGAGTTCCCTCGCCTGATTGTATATAGGTATGCATGTTATTTTTTTTTTTTTTTTCCTTAGTTTTAATTTTCTTATTTTTTAGGTTATTTTATTTTATTGTCTATTGTATATACTTTTGATTATTATTTTGTTCTATTTATTTTATTTTTTTGTACATATGGTGTGAATGTCATCCTACCTCACTATAACCAATGTCGAACAGACAGATTGTTATAATACTCAATAAAGAAATTTAAAAAAAAAAAAAAATTAAATGCCGAGTACATATTTTAAATTTCCAAAAGATTTGTGTAATAAATGAATGGTTTTAACTAAATTAATTATTTTCTTCGGATACGCTACAGTTAAACTTGAGAAATAACCGATTTATTTTAATAATTGATCTTTTAACATAGAAGATGTTATTCATAAAAGGATATGTCAAGT